GCCTTGCGGCCTCCTATGACTACCTCACTGACAAACATTTCACTCTTAGGGGCTTTAACTAACGCCGTCCAAGAAGCTAGTGGATCTGATCTAGAACACTCATGCTCTAGCTCCTCTAAGGATTCAAACACATTCATCGAACAGAGGGTCGATGAGTCTGAATGTGTTTGCGGGACGACTGAAGAGTCTGTAGCTTGGGCCATCTCTCGCGAAGGTAGGTCTACCTCCCGATCGCGGTGTATCCCACACCATTGATCTCGAGCCCGACCACTGTCCCCCTTGTCGCCCCTCGTACCAGCTCTCTGTCCCCGAGGCCGAAGAGATGAAGCGACAACTCCCCCTTCGGAACCAGCTGTCTCTTCGTTAAGAAGAACGGCACCTCGGAACTTCGCATGTGCCCTGAACCGGATCACGATCAAGAATAAGTACCCACTCCCTCGCATATCCGAGCTTCTTGATCGCCTCCGTGGAGCCAAGTATTTCACCAAGATTGATCTTCGCAGTGGCTTCCACCAGATCCGCATCCGCGAGGAGGACACCCACAAGACCGCCTTTCGCTCTCGCTTCGGGCACTACGAATTCCTCGTGATGCCCCCGCCACATTCCAATCCACCATGAATCACATCTTTCGCGACCTCCTCGAAGTTTGTGTCATGATCTACCTTGATGATATCCTCGTCTTTAGCCCCACCTTCGAATCCCACCTCGAACACCTTCGCAAAGTTCTCTCCATCCTTCGAGAACAAAAGTTTTACGCCAAGCTCAGCAAGTGTACATTTGCTGCCCCTCGCGTAGAGTACCTTGGTCACATTGTCTCGGCCGACGGCATCCGCATGGACCCCAAAAAGGTCTCCGCCCTCGTCAAGTTCCCACCTCCCTCCACCTTGACCCAACTTCGCTCATTCATTAGACTCGCCAACTATTACCGCCCCTTCATTCAAAACTTCTCCGACGTTTCCTACCCTCTCCATGAGCTCACCCGCCCCACCGAATCCTTCACATAGACTAAACACCGCCAAGCCGCTTTCGACAAACTCAAGCAACTCATCACCACCGTCCCCGTCCTCAAGATCGTTGACCCCACTCGCCACTTCTTCGTCACCACTGATGCCTCAGACTTCGCCATTGGGGTTGTCCTGTCCCAGCATTTCCCTCCTGACCCCACTGAGATCCCCTTGGTCAAAGATTCCCCTACTCACTCACAGCCACCTGACGAATCATTAGCAAGAAACTCCTTCCCGCGGAGATGAATTACCCCTTCAACGAGAAGGAACTCCTAGCCGTGGTCTACGCCCTCAAAGTCTAGCGCCCGTACCTCGACGGGCAATACTTCACCATCCGCACTTACAACACAGTCGTCTCCTCCATCCTTACCAAGAAAGACATCACCCCTCGCCAAGCCCGATGGCTAGACTTCCTTACCCAGTTCACCTTCACCATCTGCCACACCCTCGACAAAAGCAACCACGTTGCTGGTGCCCTCTCCCGCTGCCCTGAGGACAAGCCCCCTGAGAAAGTCTACGCTACCATGACCCACATTCAACGTCTTCCCTCGTTACATCGCCGCTACACCCAATGTTACCTCTCTTGCCCAGACTTCGCTTCCATTTACTACCAACTCCGCAACCTTCACTCAGTCCTTGACTACTCTCTCCATGACAATCTACTCTACATTGACACCAAGGGCACTCGCCAACTCTGCATCCCTGACGCACGTGGTCTTCATACCCAGCTCTTGGCCGAGCACCACGACGCCAAGACCGCTGACCACCTTGGTTTCCAGAAAACCTTCGACACCATCTCCCGCTACTTCCATTGGCCTTCTCTACTCGCTAACGTCAAAGCATACATCCGCTCGTGCCCCACTTGTCAGGCCGTTAATCCCTCGAACCGGGCCAAGCCCGGCAAGCTCCAATCACTGTCCATCCCTACCCACCGGTGGCAGTCCATCTCCATGAACTTCGTGTGCGGCCTCCCCAAGACCTGGGCATGATTGCATCTACGTCATTGTTTGTTGTCTGACCAAACGCGCCCACTTCATTCCTTGTACAACCTCGCACAATGCCAAAGACATCGCCATACTCTTCTTCGATCATGTCGCTTGCCACCACGGTCTCCCTGAGAACATCATCAGTGACCGCGATCCCCGCTTCCTCTCACAGTTCTAGAAACACCTCTTCCAAGCCTACGGAACCACGCTCAAGCATAGCACTGCATTCCCCCAGACCGATGGCCAGACCGAGAAGATGAATGATACTCTCCAAAGAATTATGCGAAAGTATTGTCATCCACACCAATACGACTGGGATCAATTGCTCACAGCCGCCGAGATTGCCTACAACAACGCTGTCTGCCCCGCCACTGGCACGTCCCCTTTCTACCTCGACCTTGGCTACCATCCCCGCTTGCCCCCTGATTTCTTGCTTCCCTCGCAGCTCAGCCCCTCCACCCCTTGCCCCTCTCTCAATGAATGGGTAGCAACAATGAACAGACTCCTCAGAGAAGCAACCGAAGCCCTTGAAAGAACACAAGAACAACAAGCCAACAAGACTAACAAACAGAGACGTGACGTGTCATTCAAAGTAGGGGACAAAGTCTAGCTTTCTGACAAACGCTTTGAACCCGAACAAGGCTTGTCCAAGGAACTCTCGAACAAGTGGCTCGGTCCCTTCCCCGTCATTGAACAAACCTCTCTCGTGAATTACAAACTTCAAATTCCACCTGACATGCGTCGCGTCCACCCAGTCTTCCACGTAGAATACCTCAAGGAATACCATGAACCCCCGCCCCGATTCGCTGACCGCCCTTATCCTAGACCTCCACCAATCATGCTTCCAATAGGCCCAGAATTCATAGTCGAATCAATCATAGGACGAAGAACAACCCAAGTATCAGATCACCTGGAACCAATCACCGAATACGAAGCAAAATGGACCGGATACGCTGATGAAGAATCAACATGGGAACCCCTTGATAATCTCAAGAATGCCATGAAACTTGTTCGTGCCTATGATCGTGCCTACCCTGTATCCTAACTATACCCCGGCATAAACCCTAAACCCTCGCTCAAAACCCTACTACAACCTCGCAACCCTGCTCTACACACACGCTTGAACCCAGCCCACCCTCCCCTCGACCCYGATTCCTGATGTCTGATCTGCCCTTGCCCTCGCCTAGCCTTGTCCCATCTGTCCTCTCCACTACCTTCTCTCTCTTCTCCAATGCTTGTGGACCTGCGTGACGCCGACGATAAAGGATTTAATGCCAAACGCACGAGGACATGGCCTGCTGCCTCACTGATCATGGAGATTGTACAGTTGGTTTGGCCACCATGCTGTTTCATCGGCCGGCATCCCGACTCGCGGACTTACTAGAGCAGCAACTTGTGACATGGATCTTTGCATCAGTCTGCGACTTCCTTGCTTCCAGATCAGACCTCATTGCAGTTCGTGTACCGGACGCACTCTAGCACTTGGACTTTGGACATCTGAACTACTGCTACGCTTCTTGGACTTCTACCTGTCGCAGCCGCTGAGGACCGTTTCTACCACCTACTCCAATACCTGATCAAGACCGCTGCAGATCCCCTTTCAAGACACTTGGACACTTTGTTCCTTCCCACTCCTTCGGACATACCAGCACCTGCATCCTGAACAAACAATTTCATTTTTCCTGACAACCCTGTAGAACATCAATAGAAATTCCCTGTTTCCCTGACCATTGTTCCCCTTACCCACTAGAACATCAATAGAAATTCCCTGTTTTCCTAGACATTGTTTCCCCTTACCCAATAGAACATGAATAGAAATCCCCTGTTCCCTGAACATTTCTTAGCTTCCCCCTGTAGACCTACCCAGTTACATCATACCTTCACCTTTGCAGAACATCTGACAGAATACCGTGTGACTTGCATCACTCCCCTTCTCCTTTTCCAACCAGTAATCGACCCCGTCCCGTCCTTCACAGTTCCTTTTTGTTTCCTTAGGTTTTTGACAGCTGGGACGTTGCCTTTCAGAGGGAGGGGATAGTGTTACGGACTCCGCCAGGGCTCGATCCCTGGTCTACTTTTTGCTGTTTCTGCTGCATCCTGTTTTTGGCCTGGCACCCTTTTTCCAAAACCCTCCTTTGGTACCGTCGAATTTTGGACAACTGGCGCCATGCTGCAATTCGGGCGCCACTTTCAAATGCCGCATTTTTCAGTTCTGCCCTCAGGGCTTTTGCAGAAATGCCCCTGGTACTGTACGTGTCACCGGTACTTATACCGGCTCCCCGTACGGTACGGAGGAACCGGTCTCGTACCAGTTGCAGCTGCTGTACTCGTACTCAGTGGGACTTGCTCCTGTTTTCGGCATTCGGAATCCAAGACTTCGAAATTTGTGTCCTTGCCACTGTGTCTGCGTCCGACCCTGAGTCGTGTCGAGTGAGTGAGTGTGTGTGTGTGCTCTCACTCTCTCCCTCTCTCTCCCCTCTCCCTCGGCTCTCCCTGTCTCCCTCAGCCTTGCGCTCGTCACAAGGTATGTCTCTCGTATCACTCACAACCCCGTTCCCCAACTCGCAGATGCCACTTGCACCCAAGGACCACCATGCGCCACACCCAGCCTACAGCAGCGCAGCTTGGCTATGGCTGCCTGCTCCTTCCAGCTCGCCCGTGAGTGCATGAGTGCCAGCCAGCTTCAGCGCAGCATACAGCCAGCTTCAGCGCAGCATACAGCCAGCTTCAGCGCAGCAGCACTTGCACAGCATGCAGCCAGCACCCGAATGCCCAAAGCGTGGGTTGGCCCTTTCCTATATGGAAATGGCCAGCCTGCTTGCGTGCAGCCTGGCTGTGCTGGGCCTTGGCCTAGAAGCTTCCAGTAGGCCCAGGGAGGCTAAGCCTCAGACCAAACAAATTGGCGCAGGGCCACAGACAGTTACTTGTGCCCAACTACCCACAGTCTGTAACTAAACACAAGAAAAAAGAATTAAGATAATAAAATAATAAGATTAATTTAATAACATAGCAAAATCGAATCATTCTATCTAAACAAGAATCATATAATAAATATGAATAGAATAACATAGAAATGGCTTGATTATATATCAAATTTATTAATATACAATATACAAATACAATTATGTAGTAAAGTTTATTACATATTTCATTGCAATAGATAGAGAAGATAACTTGTGCCCAACTACCCACAGTCTGAGTTGGGCCTATGCTGCGAATCTCGCCCAGGGCCTGACTCAGATGCATTTAATAAAGGAGATCAGGGGCTGGGCGCTTCCAACCAACTGGCGCTGCGCAACTGCCTGCATTTTCTCCAGTTGAGAAGTAGTCCAAAATAGGCCTCTTAGGGTCCGTCGGGCCTGCCTTCACTTAGGGCGGCCGACGCTGTTGCAAATAGGGGCCCAGTAGGGCATATCGAGGCCTTTGCCTCGCAATAGCGTCTTTTGCCCATTTTAGGGCTTACTCCCACCACAGGCGAAAAAGAACACCGGTAGGAAAATAAAACGAGGGGGGCATCCATGAACAGTGCAAATTCGACGTTTCACTTAAAGCACAATAATATACACTTAATAAAAAACAAAAACAAAAAAAAAACGAGGGGAGCGATTTCTTACTAATACGATCCCAATACCTGCCACATTGTCGATGAAAAGGGCCCAGGCTAAATTAATATTGCGGCCTGGCCCTAATACTACCTACTACCTAAAAGGCTAGTTCCTATACTAGTTTTATGGCCTACAGGCTTCGGGTCACCCAGGCCAAACCTCCACTCAGCCCTACCCACCCAGGGAATTGAGACAACACCCAGCCATGCCCCACTGAAACTTTCCCACCCCACCCAGCCATGCCCCCCCTGAAACTTTCCCACCCCACCCAGCCATGCCCCCCTGAAACTTTCCCACCCTGCCCAATTCCACCCAACATATTCTCACACATATTCACACCCAGCCGAACCACTGCATATCCTTTGGGGCATACCCGCACCCATCCAAAACTGCCGGTTACGACTGGGTACGGTTGGGTCCGGTCACGGCCACCCGTTGGCGGTCAAGATGCACACGCATGAACAGACTAAAATAATCCAGAATTACCTGTGCCGATCAGTTGAGTGATGAGATCTCAAGGCTGTCGACCTTTGAAAGAAAGAAAAAAAGGAAAGAAAAAAGAGAAAACGTAGATCAGAACGTCTCTGGGGCAGGCAATCCTGAAGTAGGAACCAAACCACAATCCTGAAGTATTCTAAAGTGAAAAAATGGGCAAGTCGATCCCTCTCAATGGGATGAGCGGGTGCTGTTTTGTGACCAGTACCTTCGAGAAGCAATAGCATCCACATCATCGATAAAAATGATGCTAGGAGCAGCCATCCGTGCCCTCTTGAAAGTCTCACGCACTATGCCTTCTCCCTCACCCACATACATGGAAAATAGCTCGGCCGCACTGTCCATTTACGTCAGAGAACACGCGTGGACAAACATTCAATGTGACTGAGTGAACAACTTTCCAATCTTCCGTTTCCCAAGTGGCCAGCTTGCCCACTTACAAAGATATCAAGTGTCACCGAAAAAGGCCAAAGCACCAACCAACATCAGGTGGCATTTCCCTTTACTGTAAAAAGCTGGAGAATTGATATAGTATGCGCAGAGCATAAGCGGTTAACAGGGGCCCCCACTTTTCAGCCCCAAGTTAAACCCCTGAGTTTTTTTTTTGTTTTCTTTTTTGCCCTGTTTTATTTTTGGTCAAGGTCTGTGGGTGCCAAGTTTGGTGTTTGTTGGGGTCTTGGAGTTGACTGTTTTGGCCAGCCCTGAAAAATCCTGAAAATCCTGAAAACTGAAAAGACTCAAAAGAGTGAAATTTGCATCAAAACACACTTTTGCGTTGGTGTTATAAACTTGGTTGCTTGTTGTCAATTTCGCCAACACTCACACACAAAGTCTCCCATGCATGCCCATACACACACAGAAGAAAGGGGAGAGGAAGAGGAAGAATCACATCGCACAGGAGAAATATGCACAGCAGAAGACTTGTCCATGCAATGATCCCCAGAGTCTCCTCACAACCAATCACAAGAGAGTCACCGAAATAGCAAAATACACAATATAAGAGTCTTGTCACATCAGAAACTGTCTCAGAACAATGTAGTGCTGCTCTGAGGGAGCAGCGCTTCTTTCACCTCTACTGAGTAGCTTCGCTACTCTCCCCAGGACCCTGAAACAATAATCGCCACTAAAAAAGGCCTCCTGAGGACCTGCGCCACAGTGTCCGATGGAGATGGAGTGTCAGACGACCTCCCAGATGAAGATCAGCAGCTGCGCCACCCTTTCTGATGAAGAAGACGGCCTCTGAAAATACTTGCTGCAGCTATGGCTGCAGCCCACCACTTTGAAGCTCCCAACAGACCTCCTCCAAATAGCCCCGGTCTCTTGACAGTCCCAATGTACTGCAGGAGGATAGAGGAGTCCCCAGCTATGGCTGCCTCTCCAAGGACCGGGCTATGGTCGACGTCTCTCGCGTGCTCCCACGCGTCGCAGCAGTGAATAGTCTTTCGCCAGTAACTCCAGCGCCGAATGACTCCACTGCCAAAAGCCCCGAAGAGATTACTACAATCTATTAATAGCTC